TGCTCAAAAGAAAACATACGTAGCGATGCACAGTCAACACATGCAGTTTTTTCGATATAGTGTGTTAATTTTTTTTTTGTTACAGTAGAATCCCGATTTCTCGAACCCTCCTTTTTTTGAACCTCTCGACAACTCGAACCAAAAGGCGTTTCTGTCTCCTCAGTCAAACGCTATAATTTTACCCCCGATTTCTCAAACTATCTGATTTTTCGAACCAATTTTCGTTTCTCTTGAAGGTCCGAAAAATCGGGAATCCACTGTATATGACGGAGAAAATTCCGTCAATGTGATTGGCTGAGAGCAAGCCAGTTTATCGTAAAATTTCTTGCACTAGAGAGCAAATTAATACAGGCTTGTTGGTGATTTTCTCGGGCATATATGCAAGTTTGAGCAATTAAAGTCTTACCGTACGATCGAGTGATATTTGAAACTTTTCTTAAACTGCGCTCGCCTATAGGCTTGTGCAGTTTTGAAACAATTTTTCGTAAATGTGAATCCTTAATTGTACTAGCATTTATGCAATTACTTGCACTTATTTTACCGGGTGTGTTGAAAGACTTCGAGTGCTTTGCGACTTCAGTGCTGAATAATAAAAATATTACACCCGTATAGAACTCCCTGTATGGACATTTTGCGTACATTGGCTCCGGGGGGAGAACTCCCATATAAAAAGGACAAGGTGCTCGTCGTACTTCTTAGGGTTAAAAAGCAGTTATGGTTCCTCTTCGGTTGTTCAGCTTCAAAAGATCCACAGCGGGAGCTTTTGCACTACGTTTTAGCCGTATTGAGCCTCCTTTAGTTGAATCTACCGCGCGCTGGTATTGGTTGATTCATGGTCACGTGCCAATGGCAAAATTTTAATGTCCTCCGGCAGGCAAGAAATAAGCAATTGTTCTCCCCCTCCCCTCCCCTCTCCCACAAACCGGAAGCTACTTTCACTTCTACTTGGCTAATTACTTTACACTTTATACAGGTCCCTTGGAGAACGGTTAGGTTTGTTTTCACGAGAGCTAACATTCCCCGACACGGCTCGAGCAAGCTAGCTGGTAGTCAGGAGCATGCTTTTGGCCGCTTTCGAAAAATAAAATGCATTGCTTATGACTGTTTACATGAAAAGGTCCGTATGGCAAAATCCCCACCAAGACAGAACCAATCAGAAGGCCCGGATTCTCCTAAACACTACCTTACCATATAATAAATAGATATATACAGGATAAAAACTCGAACAAGATGACATTGAAACATTAAAAGAGAAAAGCAAAAGGTAAAGCTTAGATTCACTCACGATCAGAGTTTAATGTGTGTGGTTCTTACACCCACCAGTGTGTTTCCATTCAGTTTACAGTCTTTTTATCATATTACCCGTCTAACAAACTAACTAGCACACCAATTGATGATTAATTTATTTCTGCTCCTAAGTTAAACTTCATGGTCAGCTTATCTTCTGCTGCCAATTCTGTAAAACGATAAAAATGTTAATGTTACTGAGGAATTCCTCTAGCTGGCGGAAGTCCGTTATAATTAGCTTTCCTTCGTACTTGGCTGTTATCGTAGATAATTCTACCAAAATCTCTTAGGAGTATGAATGAGATTACACATTTAAAGAAAATTAATGCACACACTCTTAAATTTGGAAGACGTGTTTCGGATACTCCGTAGCCATCATCAGTTTCAGGATGTTTACAAGCGACAGAGACTAAATATACGTAAGGTGATAGAAAATTACAATGCTGTTAGCACTTTGAATTCACACTTATTTCTGTTATTCTTAAAATAACGTGCCTAAAGCTAGGCACCAAGGACAGAAGCTTAAGGACGCATTCTCTGTGCAAGCAGGACACCTGTAGGATAGCAATTTAGCCAGGAAGTCAGCCCGGGAGGACTTCAAGATTAGTCAGTAATACAGTTGTTATCCCTGGGCAATCTAGTAAAGTTCCGAGACAAGCACCCCACCCGGGGAGGGGGAAGTTTAACACTCAGACACGGGAGCCTTAATTTCCTTCTGTTAGTTAGCAACAGTCAGTTTTGCTAATAATCAGCTCGAGCAGGGGCCCTGGTAACGAGTTCGATCAAACCGCGCGCAGCATTGAATCATTTTAAAGTTTCAGCTATTGAAAAATTCTTCCCTTTATAGGGAGTCTCTCGTATTGCGGTCTTACCAGCCTAGTTACTGAAAGGATCATTCTAGATAGATAAAACTAGCTTACCTGCTCACTTCCTACCAGGGTTCCTAACGTGATAGTAAAGAAACCAGCAATAAGCAAGAAAGAAAGAAAAAAAGGAAAGAGAGAGAGATGAAGGAAGAAAGGAAGAAAGGAATTAAGTAAAAAAGAGAGAAAGAAAGAAACAAGCACTTAACTCTCAAACTTCGGCAGAAAAGCCAGAGATTTGTATTAATACTTCTTCAATCGGTCAATCAGAACTAGAGAGCCCGTTCAAAAAAACGTACATGTGTAAATCTAAATAAGATACTAAAATACACAGTGTAAAAGCACAAATGCAAAACGAAAAGAGTGAACGATTTATTCAATATAAAGCAAATCGTTGACACACTTTTTACTTACGTTTGGGCAACCATGGCAGCCAAAGCCCTGCGCTCTTCCCCAGTCGTTCGCGCGATAGCTAGTAAACCAGTAAAACATATATTGATTAACTAGTGAGGAGGGACGCAGGGAATCATAGGGAGGAGAGCTCCCTGCTCTTGCGCTCCTCAGTCGCTACCGACTCCGCTCGCACTCTTTTGCTCACTCCCAGTCTCCCAATCCCCCTTTGCGCTAAGGAAAAATAAGAAAAGCCTGTGGAGGAGGCAGGCAATAGCCTGTAAATTTTGATTTTGATGTGCCTATTCAGAATCACGTCTAAAATAACGAAAGGTCGAGAGACGGAAAATTATAAGAGTACGGCAAACGGTCAACCGCATAACAGATACTAGTATCATGGAACGGTGGCATGTCTACGGGCTCCCTCCCTTCATTCGGGCTTACCGGGGGCCTGTTCGCAGGCTAGGACACGGCCAAGAATGCGAACCCAAAGAAAGAAACAAACTACTTGAAACAAACTTTGACAGAAAAGCAAGCAGCTTAATCGACTTCTTGGACTCACTCACTGATTTGCGTCAGTTGATAAATGTCAAATGAGAACTTTGACTTAAACGTACTAAATGGTCACAGCTAGAAAGCGTTCTGATAACAACTTAGAGCTCAAATATTCGCACCGTTTTCGAAACCTCACTGAAAAAAATATAGATATAAGTTATATGTATGTCCCTTCAGAGAAAAAAATCGCCGTATGTATGAACAAAGGACTGGCACTTTCCTAATATACTTCACCTCCTGACTTCACATTATGGTTTAAATGTGTGACATAATCTCCCTCTTCTTTTGGGGTAGTCGTCACTTCTGTGTCATCAAACCAATTTTTACAGCGCAAGACCGAACGCACTGTATAGGCTTCCGAACAGTCTTCGTTGTTTTCTGCGCAAGCTTCACAAAACGAGCAACTCTCAAGAGTTTCGTCACAAGATCTATTTTGTTGGTTTTGAATACAATGCAAATGAGCAGAGGTATTAAAAGACACCAGCGAATCGATTGAGTCACGTGTTTGAAAGCCAGACAAGTAAGTTAACCGGAAGTCGGTAGTTATTGACCCAAGATTTTAATAAGCGTGTTATATCATCGCTATGGAAACCTAAATAAGGTAAAACAAGGATTACATTTTTCTTGGGAACTGTGAGAGCAGGTTCTGAAGGCCTGTCTTTATGTTTGTTCATTACACTATTAACGTTGTAGTTAACAATGCCTCTCGGATAGCCATTTTGAGGCAAAGAATTCTTCAGATCAGATAGAGTCGACTGCAATAAAGTGGATTTTGAACAGCTGCGTAAGCAACGATAGGTAAGTATTCGGATTAGATTGATCTCATACTTTCTGGGAGTAAAGGAGTCCCACTTGGCGTAGGGACCAGTGAAAGTCTTTTTGTGGTGTACAGTAGTTGAAAATGTGTTGTGATTACGCTTGATACAGACATCCAAGGATGGGATCTCTCGGTTCTCTTCAAGTTCCATGGTATATTTGATGTTGGGATGTCTGCTGCTAAGAAAATGTAGAAATCTGGAAGCGGTGTCTTTACTGTCGAATAAGGAGAAAGTGTCATCCACGTATCTAAATCAAATGGACAGTCGGGACTCATTATTAACCAACCATCTCTCCTCAAAATGACGCATAAAAATGTTAGCTAAGACAAGGCCTGATGGAGACCCCATCGCGACACCATCGATCTGGTCATAATGTAAAAAAAAGATGTAAATTTTATTTAGAGTGGTCATGCACTTCGCTATACAAGTACTAAGCTTAGCTAGTTTACAGGCATGCCACTGAAACAAAGGAAACAAATATTTCAAATAAACGTAACATAGTTAAAAATCCCAACTTGCAGGACGCAGACCAGTTGGCTATTTACAAAGCGTGACTGAGGATTTGAACTCGGGACTACTGAGAAGCAAATCCCGCTAGTGGCAGGGTGGAGATCTTGAACCCGGGACCTCCGGATTACAACACCAGCGCCCTAAACCACTCGGACACGCTGCCTCCAAATGTTGACCATCATAATATTGACCATCGAATATGAAGTGGCTTTTCTTCGTTGCAAACAACCAAATCTTTGAGGACTGATTGTGGTAATGTAGGAGGATCAGGAAGAGAGTATAATTTGGTAATTAAGTATTGTCTCGTCTAGTGGGACATTGGTAAACAAGGAACACAAGCCAAAAGAGCACATAATTTCATCGTTATGTTCATGTGACTTCGCCCAGTCTACAAAACTGAAGGAGTCCTTGATTGTGAATTGGTTCGTGGAGATCGGCTTGAGAACAGTTACAAGAAAAGAGGCAAGATTGCAGTTATATGTGTTTACGGATGAGACAAGGTTATTTGTAATTGCTTATATAATTTGTCTCTTTTTCATTTGCATGTTTAACACGATCAAGGTATTAGATTCGATCATCGGAGCGAAAAAAAGAAACCACTTTTTACAGTAACTGCCTAATTTCTCGCTCGCTGATTGGCTAAGTTTTATCATCAACAAGAGTACAGACGGATAAAAGTTTAATTTATGCAAGCTTTCAAGTTCAACTTTCAACTGTCAAACTGTCAACTTTTTAACCAATGAGATTGTATGAACTTTTTTAAGTAGCCAATCAAAAAGCGAGAAAAGCTATTGACAATGTTCGCGTCATTTTGAATAAAATTCTCTTATCTTTGTTTATGGCAAGTTTAAGGCGTCTTTCCACCCCATTTATTCCCAGCATTTGACCATTTTGGGGTCTCGTTATTGTAAATAACAAATTGACGTCAGTTTTTTATGGGTCTGTCCCTCTTATTGATGATAAATTTCGTCATAACACTGTCAAAGTTTATTGCGGAACCATACGCCTGCTGCTCGTGGTTCCACAGCCTTTTTGACAATGTTATGACGATATTTAACATTAATTAAGAGGACAGACGCATAAAAAAACTGACGTCAATTTGTTAATTAACAGGAAAGGCATCGAAGAACGGTAAAATTCGTACTCAGAGCCTTCGTTTCCCTTGGCCAGCGGTCGGGATAGGAGCGACCATGCGAGGCTGCGTGATATCAGACTACCGACTTCCGGTACTTGCTTGCCTGGCTTTCAAACACGTGACTCAATCGATTCGCTGGTGTCTTTTAATACCTGCGCAGTAAACAACGAAGACTGGACGGAAGCCTATACAGTGGGTTCGGTCTTGCGCTGTAAAAATTGGTTTGATGACACAGAAGTGACAACTACCCCAAAAGAAGAGGGAGATTATGTCACACATTTAAACCATAATGTGAAGTCAGGAGGTGAAGTATATTAGGAAAGTGCCAGTCCTTTGTTCATACATACAGCGATTTTTTTTCTCTGAAGGGACATACATATAACTTATATCTATATTTTTTCAGTGAGGTTTGGAAACAGTGCGAATATTTGAGCTCTAAGTTGTTATCAGAAAGGCTTTCTAGCTGTGACCATTTAGTCCGTTTTGGTCAAAATTCTCATTTGACATTTATCAACTGATGTAAATCAACACTGGTGTTACACTTTTTGCACTGATGTTACACTTTTTGCACTGGTGTTACACTTGAACTGCACTGCTCGTAGCCAATCAGAATCGAGTAATTTTTTCATGTGTATTATTATAACCTAAACAGCTCAGTGGAGCTGAAAATTGAAATCAGGGCGTCCTAAAAGAACAGTTTTAAGTTCAGAAATCTTGTAATGAAACGTGAGCTTCATGAGGCAAAATTGTAAGCCTTAAAAGTAGTTAAAAATAAGCAAATGGTAAATGCCAATTTTGGTGACTTTACAGAAAAAGACCCTCCCATTCAGCCAGGCGTAACGTTGTACTGATATGACGCTCACGTGGAACCCAATGCTCAGTCATAACACACAAAAAAATAATACCAGTATCTCTATTCGATTATCAATAGACTCGTTATTATAAATAATTACGTTTGAGACGAAATTTTTGTCCTTTTTTAATGTCGAAGCAAAGAAAGAGGTAAAAATATCTGTTGATAACACGTTCATCGTCTTCAAAGATACAAATACAACTAATTTCTGATAAAGTGGACCAGTTTGAAACAATAAAGAATTCAGCAAGGAATAACAATGTCTCAATTTACTTATCGTTGATTTTCTGTCCTTTGCGAGGTCCTTGACATTTAACGACAGAAATGGGATCGACAACTAACAACTGAATTAGGAAAAGTCTCCTTCACAGCTGTCCAGACTAACCTAAGTGGAGCGAAAACACGCAACGCATTTCTAATGTTATTTGTTTCAGTTAGTTCTCTCAATATTTGTCTAATGAAAAATTCTCCTCAAGCTTAAAAGCTACAGATAGTAGTTCATATTCACTATATAGATTCTTAGGTCGCCCTGATTTCAATTTTCAGCTCCAGCTGCTTTGGTTATTAAATCATTGCAAATGACAGAAAATTGATTGCAACGAAACTAAATGTCTTTTTACTCAGTAAGTAAGCATATAGAAATTCGGTTGCTGGGTAATATCAGAGTATTTGACATGACCAAGGTAGAAGAAATTTCCTTAAATGGTTATTTTGATACAACTAATAATACAACTAGTCATATATCATCTTCGACTTTTCAAGGTTAAAAAATTATAACTTTTTGACGGTTGACGGTTACATTTTCGGCTGTTTGACGGCTGACAGTAAACGATTTCTTATTTGACGGTTTACGGTAACTTATATTGAAGATTGACAGTTACTTTTTAGGCCGTTTGACTGGTGATGGTTATCCCATTGAGACCCTCTTTAAACGGACACATTTCACGTTTCGTCACCGAAGAGTTCTAAACTGAAAAGCTGATTTCCTGGGTAACAACTGACAAACTCAATTAATTCGCAGCCTTTGGCAACTTTCGTTAAAAATTTAGCGTATTTTTCAAGCACAACAAAACACCTAAAGTTGAATTTAGAAAAACAACAATAGTTGTTGATCCTCATACTATCCCTTGAAACTAGTGCTTTTGCTAAAATCTATATTATGAGTTAACATTTCTAACTTTTTAGATCAACGGAAAATTTCCATGAAGTAAACATTAAGAAACCTTCCCTAAACAAATGCTACTAGGCATGCGCAGTCTCTATGCTCTGCCGACAGACTCAAGTCTGGATAACTGCCATCTAACGTTTAGTAACAGAAAGGATGGCTTTAAAAGCAGAAAGCCACATATTGCATTCAGTTTTCCACAGAAACCTAATGTGAAAGGAAGGTCAGCTAATCACGATAGTGACTTCAAAGCCGGAAAACTTGATCAGTCGAGGACGGTAAGTCATACTTTTAAAAGACTGTTTCTCTGTAAAACGTCGTAGTTTACATTAGTCGAAGTAAGGACAGTAAAAAATTACTTTGAAAAAATAAATTTTTCATAGGAAATTGAAAATTTACTAAAACACTGTGCCTCGCTTTGCAAATATTACGCCTTCATTTCCAATAAGCTTCTCGTCAAAGTTATTGATGATCCCGACAGAAAATAAAACTGATTGTGAGAAATTTAAGGGACTAACAACCCCAGGTTATCGTTTAGTACCAAGTTCCCGTCATAGCTCCTGATATGAACACTCGTTTGAGTCCCTGGGGCTTTTGTTATCTTTCTTTTTTCAATTTTCTTTTATCTGTGCGTATAAAATGTTCCGTTTTTAGGTACAGCACTTTGTGTCGACATTGAAATGCCCGCAAAAACAAATGAAATTTTCTTATTAGTAGTGCAATTATTTGAATCATTTTTTCCTCTTGTATTTTTTAAGAGTGGCTCCTCGCACAGTGCCCCTTTACTCTTTTTAATCTTTTCTTTAATGATTCGTACATTTTCTTACGTTATGCATTGGGTTTGTTTATCAACCTTTATTCAACTTGCAAACGGAATGAAAAGTAAACTAATTGAAAGTACGGGGAGGACTTGATAAAGTAGCAGGGAAGAGCGGGCTGATGAATTGAATTTGTGACTATTAATGGGAGATTTGTATTACGTGGCGCGGTGGTTTAATAGTTAGCACACTGGATCCCGAATTGAGCGGTTCGGATTCCAGCCCTGGTCGGGTCATTGCGTTGTGTAATTGGGCACAACACTTTACTCTCACATTGCCTCAGTCCTTCTACGTGTATAAATGGGTACTGTTTACAAAATGTTCTCCGTTCACACGATTATAGGTACCATTAAAAGACAAAAACCTTCGTTTCCAATATTCATCACTCACTTAATTGCTTCTCCGCGCGTCTATTTGCCACGTGGGTGCGCGATCACATGCGCGATCACGCGGGTGTCCAATTACAGGTATTCGATTTGAACTTTTTTTGTAATTGGACACCTGTAATTGGATACCCACGTGATTTGCACGTCAATTACGAGTGCTTTAGTGTCTTCCTTCGCAATGTTTCCTACAGTTTTCAAAATTTATAAAAAGCGCTGTAGACGTTTTCGCTCAAAAGAAGTTCTCAAAAGACATTTTTTTTTCCGAGAGTTGTTATAGATACGATTAATGAGTAATTGAACCTCGTATCGTACAATTCAGAGAGTAATCGTGCTCGTAATTTCAAATCGGCCTCGTGCTTTGCGCTCGTCCGATTTTGAAATTACTCGCGCGATTACTCCCTGAATTGTGCTCCACTCGGTCCAATTACTATTACTTATTCTAATGTGTTATTGCGTTCGCAGAACGCAGTTCATAATCTTGGGTGTCCTGTGGTTTCAAAGGTGATCAATTTTGAGACTTTTTCGTCGACCGCCTGCATTTTCTGCGCCATTTTGAATGACGTCATATGCGCAAAGACCATTGCGCACCTCGTGGTTTCCGTACTAGTCTGAGCACAATCTCGTTCCCAGAGTCTTCGTTCTCCTCGACCAGCGGTCGGAAAACGTGAGCTCTGGGAACAACAATTTCAGGCGTGCGCCATAGATGCAGACTGCGCAGTGAAACCGGATGGTCAGAATTCGGTTATTTCAAAATGGTTGCTCCCAGAGCTCTCGTTTTCCGACCGCTGGTCAAGGGGAACGAAGACTCTGGGAACGAGATTGGTCTGAGCATCGTAAAGAGCATTCTCGTCCCCAGAGCCAGCGGTCGTTTTGGTCAGCGCCAATCTGACGGCCTCTGAGGACGAACTGCGTAAAGCGGGAAAACGGATTTCTAAAGCTAGAGACTAACTCGTGGTTTATACTCAATTTTATATGTTCACGAACACTACTTTGAATCGCCTTGGCTTTGGGATGTTAACCATGGGAACAGTTATATTTCATTGAATGTAGTTTGATTGCATTTGTTGATTAGTTCCAGTCGCGACAGATAGCTAAGTCTTCATCCAGTCGAATATTGTTTGAAATGGGTGGAAGGCGAGATCCATAATGGTGAGCCTGAACGAAGGAATCTACAAGTCGTTCAAAACTTTATCTAAATCCTCTTCAGACACTTCGAAAACACTTCCTACCACAGAATAGTTAGTGGGTAGCGTAGCCAATCAGAGAACGGCATTCGTGATAGAACGCTAGTAGATTTATACCAAGTATATATATATATATCAAAGTGACGGCGTCGAACGCACTCATAATCTAGTATTTATGTAGTTTAGACCTCAATCACTTTATCAGTCTTTTTGTATGAGCTGAAGAAGGTGTGTTTCTTTTTAACAGAATAACCGAGGAACAGTGATGAAGACGCTTGTCATAATTGCTCTCATTGTCCTTATTTCCGATGTAGCGGCGTATGGGACACCTCCCAATTATCAAATTGGACTTACATATCCTAGTGGTTATGTAGTTTATGATGACCATGATAATCAGGTAATAGAGCTTTTTTCTGGTGTTTTTTTTAATGAATATTTATACCTAATATATCAGGCTCGTTTGGTCGAGCCATGGTTCGTATTTTGGCGCAACGCACGTAGTCGAGCCACAATACCCCTGGCGAGACCAAACCAGCCTGATATGCCCTCGAAGCCTGACCAAAAAGGTACGATTAGGTACCAAATTCCAAATTCGCCCAAGTGACCATGATATCATAGCCATATCAAATTTGACTAAGTGACCACCCTAAATGCATAGCTGTTCAATTCTCTTTTCACCCGCAATTCACGAGAAAGAAAGGTTTTGCGAATCTCGTGCCAAATGGATATTGAGCATGCTAAGGTGCTACTTGAATGTAATTTAGAACCCAGACTTCACGGGTTGGCCTCGAGATGGAGTTGGCCGCCAAGACGAGATGGTACAACTTTGTTGCACAAAAAGGAAGCATTTCATTACACAACACCAAATCGTTTGTGAAAGGGACTGCAATTTCATTTTGAAGGACGCGTTCGCTGTAAAATTTCTTGTTCAAGCCACGAAATGAAGAAAACGTTTAATGTTTTCGTCCAAGCCGCCGAAACCAATTCAAAGAACTCATGGTTTAAAAACCATGCAGCAACACCAGATCATAACCGCCAACTGCTGAAAAACAAACTAACTGCTACTCTTGCATACGGTCGGTACACCTGAAATTTGAATTGACCAATCAGGGTTCAGCAGGCGGAAAACACTGTGCTGTCTTGACGTCAAATGTATGTTAACAGGAAAGGCATTGAAGAACGGTAAAATTCGTACTCAGAGTTCTCGTTTCCCTTGGCTAGCGGTCGGGATACGAGCGACCATGCGAGTCTGAAAATATCAGACTCCCGACTTCCAGTTAACTTGCTTGCCTGGCTTTCAAACACATGACTCAATCGATTCGCTGGTGTCTTTTAACACTTCTGCTCATTTGCATTGTTTTCAAAACCAACGAAATGGATCTTGTGACGAAACTCTCGAGAGTTGCTCGTTTTGTGAAGCTTGTGCAGTAAACAACGAAGACTGGAAGGAAGCCTGTGGGTTTGGTCCTGCGCTGTAAAAATTGGTTTGATGACAATAAACAGAAGTGACAACTACCCCAAAACAAGAGGGAGATTATGTCACATATTGAAACCATAATGTGAAGTCAGGAGGTGAAGTATATTAGAAAAGTGCCAGCCCTTTGTTCATACATACAGCGATTTTTTTTCTCTGAAGGGACATACATATAACTTATTTCTATATTTTTTCAGTGAGGTTTGGAAACAGAGCGAATATTTGAGCTCTAAGTTGTTATCAGAAAGGCTCTCTAGCTGTGACCATTTAGTCCGTTTTGGTCAAAATTCTCATTTGACATTTATCAACTGATGTAAATCACTGAGTCCAAGAAGTCGGTTAAGCTGCTTGCTTTTCTGTCAAAGTTTCTTTCAAGTAGTCTGTTGCTTTCTTTAGGTTCGCACACTCGGTCGTGTCCGCCGCCGTGGCTGCTTTAGTTGCCCAAACGTAAGTAAAAAGTGTGTCATAGTCTGTCAACGATTTGCTTTACATTGAATAAATCGCTCACTCTTTTCGTTTATTTGTGCTTTTACACTGTTTATATTTTAGTATCTTATTTAGATTTACACATGTACGTTTTTATTAACGGGCTCTCTAGTTCTGATTGACTGATTGAAGAAGTATTAATACAAATCTCTTGCATTTCTGCCAAAGTTTGAGAGTTAAGTGCTTTTTCTCTCTGTCTCTGTCTCTGTCTCTGTCTCTGTCTCTGTCTCTGTCTCTGTCTCTGTCTCTGTCTCTGTCT